GGCGAGGCTCCTCCTCTTCTCTGCTGACCCTCTGCATTACCAAGGATGATGCCCTTTTCCAGGCACTGGTCTCTTCCAATAATGTGTCCAAAGAGGCCAGTCGATATTTGTGGTAGTCACATGATCTGTTGTCAACTTGAGACTTAAGAGCAAAGGGTGGGGATTAGCCTCTCAATCAGGTCACAGCTTGATGGCCTCACTTGGAGGCACTAAGGAGATAAATAGCTCGCTGGAGGTGGGACACACACTCACTCCCCGTGAGACATGCCAGCTGACAAGACACATGGAGCTATGCTAGAGCCCTGGAACTGGAGGAGCCACATGGAGACCCCTGCCAGCTTTGAAATGTTTCCACTGGCATGGGATCCACAAGACTTTCTACCCACTGGCTTATGATCTTCTTGCATTCCACATCGTTGCATGTGTTGTGTGAGTCTGAAGAGGAACTTACAGACTGGTATCAGACATATGGGCTAATATATGGACTTGAGCTGGACATATGGACTTGATGTGTACTGGCCTGAGATGCTTTCTCAATATATAATTGCTCTTGTTGTTTTTTCCTAATCATTTTATTAGGGGCTCATACAACTCTTATCACAATCCATACATACATCAATTGTGTAAAGTGCGTTTGTACATTCATTGCCCTCATCATTCTCAAAACATTTCCTCTCCACTTAAGCCCCCGGCATTAGGTCCTCATTTTTCCCCTCCCTCCCCGCTTCCCCCTCCCTCATGAGCCCTTGATAATTTATAAATTATTATTTTGTCATATCTTGCCCTGTCCGACGTCTCCCTTTACCCACTTTTCTGTTGTCCATCCCCCAGGGAGGAGGTCACATAGAGTTCCTTGTAATCGGTTCCCTCTTGTATATAAAGCTCTTTCTTATACATATATGAGTGTCTATGAATTTGTTTCTCTAGTCCACGCAGAGTAATACAATATTCTCACACAAACATACACACATAAGGTGGGAAAAGGCATGATAAACAAAGTCTACAACCTCCTCTTGAGCATTGTTGATGCTTATTACAATAAGGAGTAGTGGTAATGAGTTGGGCTATGATCTGTAAGGATAGCAGTTTGAATCCCACCAGCTACTCCTTGGGAGAAAAACGGGATTTTCTACTTCTGTAAAGTCTTACTTGCAGTCTCAGAAACTCACAAGGGCAGATCTACCGTGCCCTACGGTGTCGCTATGAGTCAGCATTGACTCAATGGCAGCGAGTCTGATTTTATTGAAATAATAGACCATAGGCATATTTTTAAAAATAGGTTTGAAATGTGGCTCAGTGTCAAATAAGCAGAGGAGGCAATTTCAGTGTTGTATATGACCCTCTAGCTCCTGTCTAAAAGGTTGATGGTGTGGTAACATGTGTGACAGTTGGTGAAGGAAGTGTATCGGGAAAGAGAATCACTATTACTGCCCCTGAAAGAGGGCTGGTTTTCCCCTAGTTCAGGTTTTCCCTCATTGGGACCTGCTATTTTAACCCAACCACCAAAGTCATTGCTCTTTCCTCTGAAACAAATCTTCCAGTGACATTTTCCCGACAGAAACGTTTTGGGGGTTTTGGGTGTATGAAGATGGACTTCACAAAGCCCACTCTGGCCCCGTTTTGGTTGACATCCAGAATTGCATTCCTCACTCTGCAAGCTCATCCCCAACAAATTCCAAATCCATCCCTCCTCCTGGCTAGTGAATGAACTTCAGACCTCCTCTTACTACTGTACTTCCATAAGATTAAAAAAAATAAAATAGAGGAAACCCTCGCCCACGTGTTCCAGAGAGCTGCTCTCCATAGGCCGTCCAATGGCTGTGAGCTGGGTAAGCCCTGAAAATGTGTGATTTTCCTCTTGCCTGTTACAGTGGTATCCAAAGGGTGGCCCTTGGACCAGCAGCCCCAGTATCATCCAGGAAATAGCTAGACTCAGAAATTGGTGTTTTGATACAACCTTCAGAGAAGTCTGATACACACTGAAGTAGAGCACCTCAGATCCACCCAAATAGAGTTGTAATGCCATAGGAGGACATAGAAGCTCCGACTTCCTTTTCTACCACAGCCCTTGACCTTCTCCCAGTCTGCCCATCCCACACTCTTACCCACCGTTCCATTTCCTTCTTCCCTTACCTATCAAACATTCCTTTGTCTTTCTTTCCGGGTCCTCATACTGTAAACAAGGTAGGCCTATGGCAGGGGTGCTCCAGTCATACCATACTACCAATACCATGACATTCCAAGCCATAAACCTCTGTCACTGTGCCACCTTCTTCGTGGCGAACACCTATACCATTTGGGGTTTGGTCATAAAAAGACTTTCTCCTGTATTATTCAGCTCCCCTCCCCCTGTGGCTGTCAAGTCAGTGACCCCATGCCATGCATGGCAGAATGGACCTTCGTGCCACAGGGCCTGGGAAAAGAGGCCCGGCAATTCATTTCCAGAAGGTCAAGAGCATGAATACTGGGCAGTGCAGTTCTACTCTGTAACACATGGGGTCTCCATGAGTTGGAATAGATTCCAATGTACTTTCCTTTTTTTCTTTTCTTTTTTATCTTATGGGCAAGGCCCCTGAATGGAGCAGATGGTTTGTTCTCAATGCTGTAGGCAAGGTTGGTGGAAGAGTGGTTGTAAGATTTTGCTTGTTCATTTTTATTTGCCATTGCGATTCATGGTGGCTTCATGTGTGCAGTGTAGAACTGTACTCTCAGGCTCTCTCTCAGGGGGATGGCCATTTGGAAGCAGTTGCCTTAATTCTCAGGAGTCCCTGGCTGAGTGTGAATGGACAACTTTTAGACAGGAGTCTAGGCAGCACAAAACATCCAACAACTTCAACCTTTTCTCTAGGTGTGACGATGTACCTATTGGTCCAGTTGTGAAGATTTTGGTCTTCTTTACATTGTGACGTAATCTATACTGAAAGCTACAATTCTTGATCTTCATCAGCAAGTGCTTCAATTCCTCCTCACCTCCAGCAAGGTGGTGTCATTTGCATATTGCAGGTTGTTAATAATCTTTCTTCCAGCCCTGGTGCCACATTCTTGTTCATATAATTCAGTTTCTTTGATTATTTGCTCAGCATACAGACAGCATACAGATTAAACAAGTATAGTGAGAGGATACAACCCTAGTGCACACCTTTCCTGATTTTAAACAATGCAATAATTCCCTTGTTTTGCTCACACAAGTTCCTCGTGAGTACAATGAAGTGTTCTAGAATTCCCATTATTCTCAGGGTTAACTGCAGTTTATTATGGTCCACACAGTCGAATGCCTTTGCACAGCCAATGAAACACAAGAAAACAACTGGTATTCTCTACTTTGAGTCAAGATCCATCTGACATCAGCAATAATGTACCTTGTTGCATGTCCTCTTCTGAATGCAGCCTGAATTTCTGGGAATCTCCTGTCAATGTACTGTTGCAACCATTGTTGGATGATCTTAAGCAAAATTTTACTTGCATGCGATATCAATGGTATCATTCTATAGTTTGAGCATTCTGTTGGGTGACCTTTCTTTGGAATGGGCTAAAAGAAGAATCTCTTTCAGTCAGGTGGACAAGTAGCTGTCTAATTTCCAAGCACAGACCAGTGAGTGCTTCCAGTGCTTTATCTGCTTTCTGAAACATTTCAATGGCTATTCCATCAATTCCTGAAGCCTTGTTTGTGGCTAATACATGCGGTGCAGTTTGAACTTCTTCCTTCAGCACCATTGGTTCTTGCTCCTATGCTACCTCCTGAAATGGTGGGTTGTCAACTCATTGTTTTTTGTACAGTGACACTGTGTAATCTTTCTATCTTCTCTTGATGCCTCTTGCATCATTCAATATGTTGCCTACAGAGTCGTTCAAGATCGCCACTCGAGGCTTGAATTTTTTGTCTTGAGCTTTTTCAGTTTCAGATAACCTGAGTGGGTTCTTCCCTTTGGGTTTTCTAATTTTAGGTTAAAGGTTACAGCCTTTAAAATGTTACCCACAGGGTTTCTACCCCATCCAATAGGGTGGCTGTGAGTCAGCATCATCTCGATGCCGGTGAGTAGTTTGGGTTGGTTTAGAGTTTTCCACTGTGTGTAGGTATCAAAGTTTATCCATTCTTCTGTTGTTTCCATTTCCTTGATTTTGTAAATAGTGTGTTGATGAACACGTGTGTGCATATATCTATTTGGATATATTTTTTTAAAGTAAAGTACTTTTTAAAGGGATATAGCATGGTTGCTGGGTCATATGGCATTACTAGTCCTGATTGTGTGAGGCAGCCACATACTGCTTCTCATGGTAGTTGCTTTCAGTCCCATCTTACCAGTAATCTCTATGAAAGAAGAGTGCCAGCCTTTTCTATCATAGCTCTGTTGGGTAGGCTACACCCACCCACGTTAAGGCTAGTGGTGGGGTGCACATCAGGTAATTAACCAAGCGCTCTGGACTGTCTGGTCGGTTAGCCTGGAGCATCCTTGATGCCTGCCCACCTCTCAGCTGCTGCCTCAGCTTCCCGAGGCTTCAGTGTGGTTTCACTTTCGTTTTACTGGAAAGAGCCCAGCACCACACAGCTATTACTGAGGAAAACAAGGAGAAAACGCCCCTGGTTATCTAGAGATCTCGAAGGCTGACCGATCCGGCGTCTGAAGACAAGTATATTGTGGACCCCTTTGTCATGGTCTCAAACATCAGGCAGTCACCTCACTCTGGGGTAACCCTAAAGCCTCTTTCAGGTTTCCAGTTGCCCAGGGCTGGCTGACCCTTTTAGGGGGTGGTGAGACCTTGACCCCTCTCAGTGCCCTAACTGACTTCCTGGGGCTGCTACACTTGGGAGGTCTGAGGGGCCCCATAGACAAGAAGGGGAAATCCCTCTTGGCTGGGCGCCATCCAGGGCTGAGAAGGAGAAATCGAAACTCAGCTGTTAAAACCGCTGCCCCAGCTCTTTGGAATCTCATCTCGAGGCTTTGCTCGCCCTGCGCCCCAGCCCTGAGCACAGGCAGCGGCCCTGGCCGGCGCCCTGAGCCATGTACACTCACAGTAAGGTGGTGGGCTCCAGGCTTGGGGCCACCCCTGCCCCGCGACCCGACCCGGACCCCTCTGCGCGACGCCAGGAGCTGGACCCCCTGCGGGCCCAGAAGCTGGGCTCCGAGGCCGAGAACCCCTGGAGAGAGAGCTCCAAGTTCACTGGCCAGGGACCCCAGCAGTGAGTATTTAACAAGCAGCATTGGAGGGAGGGAGCGGAACGCCAACGGATCTCTCAGGTGGCTCTGGAGGGATGGAACTTAGAGCTAAGGGGACCCACGGACTGGATTGCTGAGGGAGCATTCGTTTCTCTAGAAAAGCGGTCATGAGTGGTCTTAGAAGTTTGAGTCCTTTGCTAAACATCCCAGACCCCATCCTTACAGGAAGCGGAGCCCTGAGCCTGCGATTCTGCAGCGTTGAAAGATAAGCCTGTGTCGAAACCACCTGGGGTCTTTAGTACAGTTTCGTTCTTGAACTCAGAAGGAAGTCAGCTTTCCTGTATTGTTCCCTAATAAATGATCATGTCTGCCACCAAGGCCAGAGGCAGAGAAGAAATGTCACCTGGGGTTGTTAGTCGCCCCCCCACCCCACCCCCGTGACTCCATATGCCCCATCTCCCCCATGAGAGGTTGCAGGTTGGACCAGTGTGAACCATAGGATTTACATCAGCTGATTTTCAGAAGTAGCTGTCAGGCTTCTCTCTTCCGGCTGTTCCTCAGACCGGAAGCACCTCTGAAACCTGTTCTGCATCATAGCATCATGCAAACCTTCGGTGACAAATGGGTAGTGGCTGCCATGCAGCCCATTGGTCAGGAACTGAACCTGGGTCTCTCACCAGCAAGATGAGGATTCTAGCCCTAAATCACCAAAGCTTCTTAGTTGATCTCGGATGGGTATTCACTGGTATGGAGTCAATTCTGGCTGGTACTAACCCTACAGGACAGAGTCAAACTGACCAGGTGGGTTTCTAGGGCTTTAAGTCATTACAAGAGTCAAGAGACTCATCTTTCTCGCTTGGAGCAGCTGGTGGTTTGGAACTGCTGACCTTGCACAGGTTAGAAGCCCATCTGATGACCCCATAGGCCGCCAGTGTCCCGAGGGTAGGGCGCAGATCCAAAGACTGCCTGCCTCTAGTAGTAAGTTTCCACCCCAAGGACACTCCCAGATCAAATAGCCTCCTAGAAATAGAGTAGACTGCAAAATGCTTCCAGGCTTATTGTCTCTGGCTTTGATCTCTCTCTCACACATGCACACGCACATGCACATACATGCACACATGATATTGGACTTGTCCATGGACTTTCCTGGACACATTTATTATGTAGAATGCCAGTGATTTCTCTTTCCTTCCTAATGCAATGACCTGCTTCTGCTCAACACTGCTTTGTACAGGAGACAAATGGCGTCGTCACACAAGCGTTGACTGCTCACCATGAGTATAAGGTTCACCTGATGAGATCACGGAGTTGGAATTGACTCCGTGGCCCTGGCTTTTGGCCTGTGGGCTATGGTTTGCAAAGACATTCCCGCCTTTTAATGACTGCCTCGATGAATTGTAATATTCCCACTGGTTTTATATCTAGCCCCCCCCCACTCTTTCCCCCATAAACTTTCATAAACAAATATTGGTTGCTAAGGAACAGTATCTGACCTTATAATGAGTAAACAGTAAATTTCCTTTCATCATTTAACTCTGGGAAGAATTTATAAGTCAGCTCCAGCTTTTACTATTTTTGATTGTAAAACTACCCTCAGATCAGGCTGATGATCTGTCTGATTGCAAAGAAGGGTAGCTGCTCTTCTCTCATCCTTAGAATAATAGGTACCTTGTAACAATAGAAGCTCGTTAATTCAAATAACCTAGAAATCTATAAGCTGCAGTATTTCATAGTAATAGGGGGCATAGACATTTTTCACTTAGGTTAATGATAAACATCCTTTACATATCTCCCCCTCACCCCCTATTATAAAGCATCTATTTAGGCATAACCACTTATGAAAGGGCTTCAAAAAGTTCATGGAAAATGGAATTATATAATGATGGATTTTTTTTCCCTTGAAGATTTTGAATTCAGCTCTTATCATCTCGTAGGCAATAGCACTTGCTTCCATCAGTTTTCTTCTTTGATTATAAGTTACACCAGCATTTCACAGACCCAAATTACTCAGAAAGGGGCAGTTTTCTGATGAATTATCCAGGCCTACAGCCATCAGGGCTGGCAGCCCTCGTGGCACCGTAGTTATGCATCGGGCCGGTAACTGCACGGTCAGCACTTGGAAAGTACCGGCGGCTCCACAGGGGAAAGACCGAGCTCTGTGTGTAAAAAGTTCTGGTCTCGGTAACTCTCAGGGGCAGGCCGACCCTGTACCATGGGTTCACTGTGAGTTGGAATTGACTTGATGGCAGTGAGTTTGCGTATTGTTGGAAGTACCCCAGGTGGTGCTGAGGGATGTGTTGGGCTAATCACAGGGTCAGTAGTTCAAACCTACTAGTCACGCCTTGGGAGAAAGACAAGGCTTCCTACTCCGATAAGGTTTTTAGTTTCGTAAATCCTATGGAGGGCCACTGTGAGTTCGAGTCAACAGGATGGCAATATTTTTGGTCTTTTGTTTTTAACATTCTGAAGATCTTAATGCTAATATTTTGTGATTTCTAAGATTTGCAAGTAGGCCATTATAGAGAGCATACATGGGAGAGTTTAGGTAGCTTTCATCGAATTCTTCATTTTTCTTTGTATTATTTTTTTTTTTTTACATGAGCCAGTTTCAGGAAGCAGAGCTTTAAGCTCCATTCCCGTGTCGGGGTTAACATCTGAGATGATGCTTGGCCCAGTCAGGATTCTTATGACATCGCCACGCGTCCTAGGGTTTTTCCTTAATGTATTTTAGTTGAGGAGTTCCACTGAAACCCATCCAGCCTGGGTGACACTGCTGGTATGTGAAAAACCAGTGTTACAGCAACCTGCAAGCCGCCACAGTAAGACAAGGTGACGAAGGGTGGATCGGCTGCTTGAAGGACTCCGACTAGCCTCTGACCACACCGGCTCAGGCGCTGTGCTTACGTCATGTTCATTGCCGATGTTTTATAGGAGGATAAGAATCTTTGGAAAATCCACATGTTCCCTTCTATTTTTAATCCCCCCTGCTGCTGGAATTTAAAGAATCTTCCCTAGTTCCCGTTCATCAGTTTCAATATTTGTCACCACTTTCTTGGTTTAAGTTAAGGAAATAATCCTAGTAACTTATCCTTTTTCTTTGCTTTAGCCCCAGATCTCAAGAGCGAATGAAGAAAGGTTTTTGCAGGATCACTAATCAATGACTGTCAATCCCCGAGTTTTCTCTTCCTCGCTTAGAGGGCATCCTGTTCATTCATATCAGACATGGTGGGGAGTTGATATGAAGTCCCAAGATGGCACAAACGGCTAAGCCCTTAGCTACTAATGGAAAAGTTGGTGGTTCAAACCTACCCCGAGGCCTGTTGAAAGAAGGGCCTGGTGATGTGCTTCTGAAAGACCTCAGAGAGTGAAAACGGGGTCACCATGAGTCAGAATCGACTCGGGACTCTTGGCAAATGGGTTCCTGTTTTGCTTGCTCTATGTAGCACTATATAGTCATTAGCTCACCAGTATTTGTTCCATTTTTGTACAAATCATTATTTCATTATGATGTTTATCTTGAAATCCTGAAGTACAACTTTTTTTTTAAAGTATAAGAGCAACCAAAAACTTTCTGAGTCTTCTTGATTCATCTTGCTTGAATCTGCCCTAGCCACAGATTCACATTATAGCAAACAGTGTAGAGCCTGTCAGAACTGTTCTTTGTGGCTTCTTCCCCACGGTGTGTTTCACTTCCTTCCCTCCATGGGGCGATGAGAGAATAAACACGAACATGGAGCAGGACTGGCAGTGTTTTGTTCCCATCGCATAAGGCTACCATGGGGTAGGGGCCCACTGGACTGCAGTTAACCTTGTGAATGCCGTGAACTCTCCAGCTTCTCCCTGGAAAGGGAGGGCCGAATAGCACTCACATTCCTTGCAGTGCTCTTAAATAGCAGGACCCTGGATAGGAGTTCTGTGATGGATTCTACTGAGTCATGTTCTTAATGGCTCAACATAGATTCTTCTTCATTAGGGAACTATTTAACTCCATCTCCGGGCAAGGCTCATAAGCATTATGACTTAAAACAACAATTTAAGTCTTAACCACAATAATAGGGCTCAATGGGTTGGTGTGGTGGTGCCTCCATGATTATCAGATTCTAATACCCAGCTAAGCAGGACAGCTCCTATTGGACTGATTTTGGAAATGAGAAATGTTTAGAAATAGTGCTGTCTTGTGGTAGTCCAAGGTAAATTGGCTGTAGCCTGCAGTAGTTAAACAGGGTGCTCCTCCTCAGCCTAAGTAGCTCTCAGTTGATCTTCTGTGAAAGAAGCCGTGGTAGTTTAGTGAATAAATGCTCAGCTGCTAATCGCAACACTACCAGTTCGAACCAACCCAACAGATCCGTTCTCTTCTGTCCCATGAGTTGGAGTTAACTTGATGGCACACAACAATGGGTATGGTGACACACAAAGATTCGTACAACAATGATTTGGAGGACAAAGATGTGGCCATCTGCTTCTGTAAAGATTATAGCCCTGAAAACCCTGGGAGGAAGTTCTGCTCTGTCCTATAGGGTTTCTAGGATTCTGTTTAAGGCCAGGTTGTCTAGAGAAACAAAATCAGTAACACTTAAGTGTAGATAAAAAAGAACCTTATGTTAAGTAATTTTATATCTAGAAGGCATTCCAGCCCAGTTCAACTCAAGTCTATACTTGGGTCTGATATTCGTGGGAGCCCTCTTCTGAGTCATGGAGCTGAAGGCCCATGCCACAGAAAGGTAACTCAGGCTGCAGGGAGACCACAGGCTGGCAGGTTCCGCGTAGCATGGATGCAAGGTCTGGGGAAACGTGACAGGGCGCCCACAGCTCCCAGGTGGGCTCCCAGGGTCAGCAGCACACATGGCACTGCCCCTGGAGGTAGACGCAGAATCCCAGCAAGGATGAAGGTAAAGGGCAAGAGAGATGAGGGGTCCCCAACGTCTCTTTTACATAAAGGGCACACCTCTTAGGAGACATCTTTAGGCTGTGACCTGACTGATAGGTTGGACCACATCTTTACACTTTCATACCAGTTTAAGTT